AGGCCATGTTTAATACTAAATAAACTATGATTATGGTGAAATTGCTTAAATTTCTTGCAAATCCCATCCAAATTTTGGTGCAGCATTTTACATGTGTTTTTTTTAAAGTTCTTGGTTAATTTTAAATCAAATGGAGAGAATTTCGTATTGACTACATGTCTTGAACAAAAAGCTTTTCAAAATTATGGGGAAAATAATATTTTTTTAATGAAACCCAGAAGAACATACACAACGCATGTAAAATGCATTATACATGTACATGCACTGCCTGATGACAACTTCCCTTTAACCATAGCATTACATACAACGTCAATTCCATATACAATTGCCAAAGCCATGGCTTTCACATCAGGTTTACCAGGCGCTCAGATTTAGTAACATAATATCCCTCACCTCATGCTTAAAAGAATACCAGAGATATACTTGTAATGTGATATCACACACAAATACAATATAAAAATCCCATTTATTTATATCAAATTCCATCTCCCTAGCATAACTTCATGGGATTCCTTATTCATGACAATGCTTGAGTTTTGTTCAGGGTATAATCTTCCTCGGAGTTTAACAGCAAATCACTGAAAAGTCACAGCAAAATAACAATATTGTTTGCGCACGTTGATTCATTTCACATGCTCTAATACATTTTATATCAAGTCAGTTTTATTTTTAGTGGGATATCGTAATCATGACAGTATTGCACTTCAAATGTTATCACATTAGACATTAAAATCCATGCGCATGAGAAAGGAGAGCATATCAGCATAGATCAATACTAACGTAAGTGCTTTCGTATTAATCCATTACTTTGCTGAATATTTACATTAAAATGAAATCTATACTATGTGTCATATTGCTATATAATAAATCCAATAGAATAATGGTTTTTCATAGTATGCAAACAAAAATATTAGAAATTGATATTATTAGTAAGAATATGGCTAATAATGATTGAATTGAACATAATTTTTAAATGGTAAGAGATCAGTTTTGACCAAAAATTAAGCAATATATTGAAAAATACATTCCTTATATTTGCATGCTAACCTGTTCGAAATCACAAGCTTGAAACAGTTTAAAAAATTAGACAAAATATATTTTGTTTTCAAAAATAAATCAATAAATATGCAATCAACATGAAATACCAGATACATTTTGGATCATGTGATACAGAATGCATTGAATTCTGGGTATTATGCAAATTATTCGATGGGAACATGTGTGTCTTCATTGTGTAACAAATAATAAAACATCATTATTTATTTTAATACCATATTATTACATAATTCATGCAAATATAGTTTTAGTAATATTTCAGAAGCCAGAAGCAATAGTAATAATGGCCTTCCTGTAAAGCAACTAGTAATAGTAAATTCTGACATATACACACGCAGGGCTTCCCTGTGATGTGACATATCGTACACAAATATGGCTTCCTTATGATACAAATACGTCTAGTTTTCAGACATAATTATTTCTTGACATGAAGTTGAACATTTTTATCAGTAATCTGATAGTAGCCTCTTTGATTATCCTTCTGTTAAAAGTGTACTATGTTTCAAGTGAACTACAATTACATGTACATCAAACAACAATTACACCTCATGCAATGACAAACTGTTGCATGATCATGTTACACATCACATCACATCAATAAAAGCGAATCATTAGTTAAATTTACAAGATAGGATATAGCACTGGCTCCACAACTTTTAAATACACAAATATTTGTTCCCTCGTTTATTGCAATAACAGTTAAAAATAAAACAATGTGAAAGTATGCAACAGTGTTGCAGTGGTTTTTCAGCCCGTTAACTGGACTGTTGGAGAGCTAACTCGTCAACAGATCAACTAATGTAATACAACTATTGTTTCCTAATCAAATATAGGATGAGGTCATGTAAAAACCTAAAAACCTGACAAGTTGCATGTCAAATGACTGTGTGCGAATAGCAATAACAAAATAAATTATTGACAACTGGCATAGTGATTGCAATTTTTGTTGTCATTATTAGATGTCATACAAAAGTCATTGAGTCTTATACACCATATCATTCTGCAAGCAGTGATTAAATTTGAACAAGTTTCAAATAGTGAAATTCATTTAAATATAGATGGCCTTTACTATGAAACCAATACAACAAACCCATTCCCATTATTTCATAAACATAAATATGAATGGCATGTTAAAACAATGGGTTTCATGAAGGCATGCATTTGTTTTAAGAACAATTAAATACATTTAACATTATCCTTAAAAAGATTCACACACTTTATTCAAATCTAATTAATCTTTGGTTGTGGAAACCATTTGGTATCATTACCCAAGGGTAATTGTGGGGAGTCTTCAATCATTGGCTGATTTCTGCCATGAGCGCAAAAGATAGATAGATCTCATTATTTTTTTAAAAATGTTAAATCATGAAAGCAAACCAAATGAGTTAAAGGTTAACAGGCCGCAGTAGAGTTTATACGCCTGTGAGTTTAAGGCCTGTGATTGGTCAAGATGTTGCACATCATCATTTGATATTCATACACATTATAAATATTTTTTAACAAATATAACAAATTTGCAACTTCACGAAACCTGGTGTATTGACCAATGTCATTTTAAAATGACGTTATGGCACACTCATTGAATGACTTGTTAGTTTCAACTGCCTTGAAATTAAAAAATGTTTCTAAAAAATGAAAGGAATGGGCTTGTTGTGTCGATAGTAATATGTTCAGTTGCATTTGATTAATGGAGTAAAAAATATACATTTTTCATTTTTGACTTAATTGCTCTATTTCTGTCAAGGTTACACAAGATTAATAATTTACATGCATAAATGAACTTTGACATATGAACTTTCACTTAATTACCCCATTATACAGTTATGTAACAAAAACCAATGACCAGATAATTTTTGTTTTGAACTCAATCATTGAAATATGCATAAAATATCAAATCTATCAAAAATAGTAACCAGTTTTCTT